AATAAGACGCGAACCCGTATTCAACAACAAAACTGTCGAATATATAGTACAGTTCAAATATATAGAAATTATCTGACGAAAATATCTGATTACACTGGAAATACACGTGTCCAATACTATCCTGCAAAAAAATTAAAGAACCTAATCAACAAAACATCAGCTGCATCAGGATATTTCAGAAATATAATTTGGAATACTCCTCCAAATATCTGAACCAGGTATAAGTTTTGTTCCAAAAATTTTTCCTGATATTTTCTATGAATGATAAGTAGTATGCTGTATCTTTTACCACATATTACATGCGCCAGATATTGCAATTTTCTTTCTTTTAACTTATCTACTTCTTATTCCTCCAGTAGCCATAACCGTTCTAGCCTATGCAACTGTTTTTTTTTGGGTACAGAATCACTAGCTTTCAACCACTGCCTGAATTTATCTTTTAATTCAGATGTAAACCCAAGTTTCATTATGTATTATTATATATAGATTTACAGAATTCTTAGACGTTGATCGATTTCCAATCCACCTTGATCGGTCATTCCATTAGACATTTCTCCCATCTCGTCATTAATTCCTTCCCTCCATCTCCTTCACGACCTTCCACAACACCTTCCTAGCCTTTTTGTTTATACTGTTTTACATTACAGAACTTGTTTTTGTGATTTTACTTCTGTCCTGACGTTCTATGTATCTATAATACAGCAGCTATCTTTTTTTATGTTCTCCTCTCAATTTTTCTTTAATTTCCCATATTTGGCTCACACTTTTTCTTATTATTTTTGCCCTCCTAGATATTTATGTCATCTCTCCAAAAATCCATTTCTGTAGCTTTGATCATCTTATCCGCCTTTGATTCACCAGTGGTCTTACCTTACTGCCCTAGACCCTAGTACTTTACTTCTTACTATAGTATTATGTAAGGCATTTGCCTATACTGACACACAGAAGACTTAGAAAGTATATAACTAGATGGTAACCCATAAAGGAAAGAAGAACTCTCGAAGGATATCAACAGAATTCGATTCTATACCTCACCAAAGCAACAAATTGAAGCATGGTATTCAAAATTGAGAGTTTTATTCAATTACACATAAAACCAGGCTATAATATTCAGAAATGAATGAATTCAGAAAATATTCAGTCGGAAAAGTTACATGAATTTTCTGTATATTCTTTGGAGCCTCATTTTTAAGCCAATGGCACAAAACATGAACAATATGAACATTTTTATTTTGGCCAGCGCAACCATCACAAAACAACGATTCTGCAGAAAAAGACGAAAGATCTTGGCGTCTTAAGTAATGGATGAGTGCAGAGATCCGATTTCATTTGCTCCTCTGCTTCCATGCGTTTCATTCCACGTATAAAATGTTGGTGCCTTTGAGTCAATAGGCACACAGAAAAATGCATAGAATGCAATTTGTTGGCGATAAAAGGCATCGCCGATTGGAGTTTTAGGGAGTGGATGCACTTGATAACAAAAGTACGCACTTCATATACCTAATACACCGACTTAAGATGAATTTATGTGACCATCAATCGTCTATAAGAAACAATTTTCAGTTGGCACGATTTTTCAATTTGGTCGAGAACACGTTCATTATAAGCAACTGTGTGAAACGATATAGGTGTCAGTGTAAAAAATAATAATGTTCGCAACAGTACCATGTAAGACCGAGATAGTTTCACCTCATCTATAACTAACTATTTGAATGCACAACCGAGATTTTAGTCTCAAAATCTTAGAAATCCTCTTAATTTATTATAGAGAAAGATATATCAAATTCATATCATTACAAAATATCAGAACTGCTAAATACATTTTGTCGTTCAAGTCTGTCATCAGTATTAATTGGTAGACGTGTTCAAAAGGCGCGGATTGCGCACTACACTCGGCTGTTGTGCTCAAGTGTAGTAGGTATTCGCGTCGCCTGGACCGTCGATTTGTATCTCTAACAGTAAAATACAATATGGGAGATCAAAATATAAATAACAATACATTACGTAGTAAAAACATTATAGTTAAAGTCGCATATGATGATGCTAACTTCTCCTTATCCTTGCAGGCATTCAGTGGAATGTTTTGGATCAATCTGGCTTCACGCATTTTTCATCAACCTCCGCAGTAATATCGAATAACGTTGGCACACAATTCACCCACAATAGCGAATCTCACCCCACCTCCCCACCAAATAACAATATCCTTCTACATTCTAATACAACTGTGAACGAACCATTTCTCAATCTTAAGAAAAAACGAAGTTTGAATCCTCAAGGAGATGAGAACTTCCTTAGGGCCCTAGAAGCTGTGAGATTCGGCGGCATAGGATTTTGCAAGGCGGCGAGGATGTACGGAGTGAATAACAGGACTTTGTGGCTCGAATATAAGAAGAGAGGTTATCCTAATTTTAGACTTAGCATCAAGAACCGACACCAGGCGCAGGTGCAGAACGAGAGTGAGCGTGATGTAAAACCGAAGGATCAAAATATTGTTACCAGTGAGCCAGACACGTGTACTGTTAACCCGATTGCTATCATTAGCAGTGCAGTCTTCGACGGCAAGCATGTAGACTTTAAGGAAGTTTCGCAAAGATCCAAATACTTCGACAGTGAAAATCCTCCAGAAACTATAAATTTTCAGAGTCTCAATCTTGATCCAATGTAGTCTGTGATTAATAACCATTATGTTCCGTACTAATTGTTTTATGTTTAGTGTATTATTTCGCAATATTAGATTGATTAATGTTTCATGTATGTATAGTTCCTGCTTTTGTGTATGTATGTATTTTATCCACATTACTAAAAAATAATAAGTATAATATTGTGGCGAAGCCGGACCTGTGCCGCCACATTATTCTTCTTACATAGCTTCAATTGAAAGGGAAAAGAAAGGTAGGAAATGTCAGAAAGTTGAATTTCTTGGTGACCGTAAGAATGGGTTTGATAACGACGATGAAGATGTACCAGTAATCATAACTGCATGAGAAATCATCGACAAAATCTACGACAAATCAAATAATGTTGCAAAGAATTTGAATATGGTGAATGCCGATTGATGAGTGCTGTATTTGCTATCGACCAAAAACTAATTTTGTGTTTCGGATTCGGCGGATCTTTTGACAACAATATCAAATAATCCAAAGGATTTTTCACCATGACGTGAACGGTTGATGAAACATTGGTCTACTTCTATACAGTTTAAACAGAAGCAAAAGTTAAAGTAGAGGATAAACAACGTCCAAAGCATACAAAGAAGGAAAAAGAATATTCAGATGATGGCGACTTAATTTGGGATACTATAGATAGGTATTATCCATTATGATTACTTGAAACAGTCACAGTAATAACATATGTATAATATGCCTATTGGTTTGTCTAGCCAAAACTCACGAGGCGGTTTTTGCATAAGAAAAATTGCACTATTTGTGTTATAAATTCATCGACTAATTATATTCAGCTCTGCGTGGCTATTTTCGGTTCTGTTGTAAAAATATGGCTTCGAAGACACCGTTTTCCATCGGACGATAAGGTCATAACCAAAACTGCACTCTATTTTAGAGAACTCAAGCAAAATTACTTTTGGAAGGGATAAAAAGTTTAAAAAGCGTCTGCAAAAAAAGGATCGTATGTTGGTAGTATGTCATGCTTTGATTACTACATGGTAGATTTCTGACGTGCTTTATATGCAATTCTGCCAGTTTTCTATAGCTATTTTATTCGTACGTCAAACTTTCATTAGCCGGTCGATCACTGAGCGCTTGGTAATAAAGCTTTCATTGGAAATCTATTTTTACATCTATTTCAAATGATTTTGATCTCATTAAGACGTGGATATTCATCTCATTAATACTCACCAGGGTTGTTAAACACGACTATCTGATTATCGATTTGACCTGGATATTACTGATAAACTTTGCAAACATCAAAACACGAATACAAATGATAGTTCCCTGTTACTCTGACTATCTACTATACGATATATTATATAGTAGGGTAAGGTACACAGTTGTGCTTAAAATGCTATTGATGAATACTACTTTGCTGTTAGCGTAATCGGTATTCATTATAGAAGTTGTTATTTGTTGCTTTGGGCACAGAATAATAAACAATCAGAATGCCCACTCTCCATGGAAAATTAAGTACGCGCATCTCTTCGCGCAGACATGCCGCCATGTTTTAGAGGGAACCAGTGTTGTTTATGTGGTGTACATAGAAAAATACCCGGTTTAATTGACTTACGGCAATCATAGACATACTATACAATTATATTAACATTGTTAAATATAATAACATAAATATAATATAATTAAACATAAATATAAACAATTACATAACCTCACAAATCATATGTCTGTGTCACAGTAGTTGTCTATACTGTGTCTGTGTTATGTGTTTCCTTCTAAAACATTACGAGCGTGCTGAAAAACTTCAAAGGCAGCATCTGAGAGTGGGCATTCTGATTGTTTATTATTCTGTGCTTTGGGCTTGTTTTGGGCTTTTCTCTTGTTCTGAATCTCGCATTCCATACAGAGTTTCACGTACGCCGACTTAATTGTCCGTTTTTTCTTGGGTGTGGTGTTTGGAGTATGTGTTTGGGTTCAAGGTTGCCTCGTTTACACAACTGACTTATACCTCTTATATTATACTTATACTCTTTAGTCCGTAAGTTTTTCCACCACTGGTAGTCGTATTTTTTGTAGTGCTGCCGAGGAAGTATATGTAAAATGATACCTTTTAGACTATTTTTTTTTGTTGTTGAATGTTAATGTTTGTTTTTAATAGCTGTGTTAGCTCTCTATGGATAGATATAATTGTGCAATATGATCGGAAATCCCATCAAAACTAATCTCTTCCTGTCCATTTAACTAGTGACGGTAAAAAATGGAGTTTTATCCAGGAGGTGTCTGTGTATTTGTCAGGCATTTCAGTGCTGGCATGCCTAAACAATTTGGTGAGGATGTGAGTAATTAATTTTTGGTATACGAATACATTGCTGAAAGATGAGTAAGGAGTTTTTAGATGTTTTGGCCAACGGTTAGTGTATAATATATGGTTGAGATGTTCCGGAGAGGAAGTCTTGTCGTTTGAAGTTTACTTTATGCAGAATACTTCTTTCCAAAGATAACAGCTGAGTTTGAGGTCGTAACTGAGTAGAGAATACATGTTTTAGTTTGCTTCCATCCGAGTTGGACTAAGAACATCGAAAGAGAGGACTCCAGTAAATGTTCTGCTGATCATCATACCAAGCTAGCACGAGAAGCAGTGTCGTCTGCGTAGTGTCGCTGTATTAGTCCATCTAGGGTTGTAGAAATCGCTATTGTATAATGATGTATAGTGTCGGTGCTAGCGTAGAACCGTGTGGTACTCTTGCAATAGGAGTTAGTGATGTTGAGAACTGGTTTTTCACATTGACTTTGATACTTTCATCTGAGAGATACAAATGGATAAATTTGATAAATAGAATGTGGCCAAAAACTTTGTTCTTTGTAAGAGAACACCCTGTATTGACTACATATTGTTATATTTTAGATACTACGTAGAATTATGGGATAATTCGGAATTAATAATTTTCGTCTTTCAAATATTATTAGGATTTCCTAAAACTACAGTCCCTTCGCAATAAACATATGGGGAGTGGTGAAAATTGGAGATGCTCCCCATCACAACTTATAGTTGTTCAAATGTACTGTTCAAACGTACCTGCCTTCGTACCAATTTTTTGCTAGTATATACGCGTAAACTATCAATATTTGTACAAATAGATTAAAGTGACGAAAGGGCATCGAAGAGAACCCAAATTTAGCATAAATTATTTTAAAGTAGTTTCTAAGTTTTGGTTATTTGATAACTGTACCTATAATATAATAGTAATATTTTAATCACGTCTTGTTTTTTAGTAATGTGTTTAGAACTAATTTATATCTTTAGTCTCTGTTATTGGTATATTTAACTCGAAACAGTTGCGTGTTCATGTACTTATTCGTTTCGTATTTTATCATTTATTTATGTTACAATGTGATTTTTGATAATAAATGTTTAAAAATTTTGAAATTGATCTATCATTATATTTTTGTGTCAAACGAATAGCACTGACATTTAAAATGACGCATTTTTGCAGCTCCGTTCTCTTCTTGTAGTATCATATTCTAATTGGATGTTATAATTATGTTGAGTGCCTTATAGTGCAGTAGTTGTCTACCTGACTTTTTGAGCCCCACGTTGGGTGCCATTTCTGCTACAACTTATGTGCTATTTCCCGCCTGGCGTGGGTACCTAATACCTATATAAATACTTTTCTTTACTATTCGCACCGATTCTTTTACTAAGAGTGTCTTCTTTGTCCTATTAAACTTCTTTCACTCACCCCTTCTTGCGTTATAAGTTGAAGTTTTTAGGTAAGTGATTTTTTTTTTCTTCCGTGATGTATCTCCGGTAGAGTAGGTTCCTCTTTTGAATAGTCAGTACAAATTTAGAATTTTTTTACTTACGTTTTGGTTAAGCTTTTGAGTTTATTCACACTGGTAGTGGATTATTTGTAGACGTTAATTAATAAATGATTTTTCATTATTGTCATTGATCTTGGAAAAAAATATTGTATAGTACTTTACCAGTTAATCCTCTCTTATCATTTTATTGGCTATCATTAAATGCTTGATTTATAATACGGAGCCATAAAAAAATCGTAAAGCACGTCATTTTTATTGTACAGACTATTGTAATTATTTTTTCCGATGGCTCTGTATAATACAGTGTGGAAACCACTTATGGAATAAAATTGTTTGTGTCCTTATTATAGAAAATAATCAAAAACTCTGGGACACGTTAACTTTTAAATTTAAATGTGCGCTTTTTAAACATAAGTTTAAATGTACAGGGTGATCCACGCACGTCTGGCATAGTCCATAATCCTTATTTTTAATGAAACACCCTGTATATTTTTATGTTTTTAAAATACTTTGAACAACCTGATTTCAATGAACTATATCATGTATAGGTTCTATATATATGGCTAATGAATAATACAAGGTGAAATTTTGAAATTAATAATTTATCACATGTTATGATATTATTTTAAATTAGCTAAATACAGACAATAGACTTCTACTCTAAGTGTCAGTACACTGTATATTGGGGAAAAATTCTGTTTAGTAACCGTGTTAACATTTTTTGTCGTGAATAGGTAAAAACTGTATAGATAGTCTGCTAATTAAACTAAATCGGTAAATAATGCGGATTGTTATCAATCAGTTGACATGCTGTTGACATTTTACATTAAAATAATAAATTCCTAATTAAAAACTAATTTCTTGCAGAAATAAAAATGAAATATTTAACTAAGGCCCACCGAATTGAGATTTTAATGATGATCGGTTACGGGGAGAATTGTAGAATTCAAGTTGAAGTAGTAAACTTATTTAATCAGAGGTATCCTCAGTTGCCTAATATTTCACAAGGTACTGTGTCTAAAATTTATGCACAATTCAGAGAACTTAGATATGCAAACATTAAAAAGAAAATCGAACTTCATTGAAGATGAAGTGAAAGTGGATATTTTGTTAAGTGTCGCAGAGAATCCAACGTCAAGTTCACGTCAAATTGCACGTCAAAATAATGTGAGTCACACAACTGTCCTAAGGTGTCTCTATGAAGAAAACTTCATCCATATAAATTGACATTTGTGCAGGAGCTAACAGAAGACGATCCGGATCGTAGAATGGATTTCTGCAAAAGAATGAGGGATAAAATTAACAAATGAAATAGCTCTTGGCACAATTCTTTTTTCTGATGAATCAAAATTTACATTGAACGGAGAGGTAAACTGACAAAACTGTAGATATTGGTCAGCGGAGAATCCTCATTGGATGCGTAAGACACACACTCAGTATCCTCAAAAGTTGAATGTTTGGGCAGGTATTATAGGAGATCATATTATTGGTCCTATATTTATAGATGATAATTTGACAGCGGAAAAATATTTAAGCATGCTAAGAGACGATGTTCTTCCTTAGTTGGCTAACTTATATCCCAATCCAATAGATCCGACCCTACCGCATGAAACTGTCTGGTTCCAGCAGGACGGTGCAACACCCCATTATGCTTTAATGGTGAGAAATTACTTTAATGAAATCTTCTTCAATAAGTGGATTTGATGAAGGGGACTAGTGAGCGGCCAGCTAGGTCGCCAGATCTTACGCCTTTGGATTATTTGTGGGGTTATCTCAAGAACAAAGTATATGCAACACAATCAACTATCATTGAAGACCTCAAGAAGTAAGGATAACTACAGAAATACGGAATATTTCACCTCAAACTTTAAACAAAGTTCGGAACGAGTTTTATAGGAGACTGTGTTATTGCCAACAACAAGCTGGAGAACATGTTGAGCATTTATTTTAATGTAATCCAATCAATTACCTCGGGTATTCTATGAATTCATTGTCTTGAAGAAAATACCTAATTTCAAAATTTCACCTTGTATTATTCATAATAGACCCTACATGATATAGTTCGTTGAAATCAGGTTGTTAAGGAGCTTTTAAAAACATGAAAATATACAGGGTGTTTCATTTAAAATACAGATTATGCACTATGCCAGACTTGCATTGATCACCCTGTACATTCAAATTTATGCCTAAAAAGCGTACATTTAAATTTAAAAGTTAAGGTATCTCAACGTTTTTTATTATTTTCTAAAATAAGAACACAATTTTATTCCATAAGTGGTTTCCACACTGTATAAGTTTAATTTGATATTAACTGACACGTGTAATATTTGTGCATATGTGGTAAGAAATAGTCATGTATTATCAAAACAAACTCATACAGGTAATTTTATAAATTTTAGCAAGTTTTTCCCCTCGATCCTCACCCCCACCACAGGAGATTCAGCACATGGGTCCAAAAAGAGGCCGTTTTCTAATGAGGCAATCTCGAATAAAAAGAGAACCCGATCTGTGCACTGAGGCAGATTTAGAAGCAGTAGGTTTATCTCCATACCTGAGTATACCACCCGTTAGAATAGAAAGACAATGCTCAGAGCCAATCCCTTGTATCTCACCTTCGCCAGATAATCTGCTACACGTTCCTGATCACGTACTCGTTAAACAACATTCGCATCCACTTTTGCCAAGCAAATCAGCAGAGGTAAGTATATTTCCTAATAATAATATATATATCCTGAATATTGAAGGGAAAACTGATTAAAAAGTACTGTACTACTACTAATTTAACGCATCTACTAATGATTCCCTGCAGTAACAAAGGCTGAAGTCAAATATGCACTTTGACAATTAAAAATCAACATCAAAACATGTGACAATGAAAATAAAACAAAATCAGAATTTAAAGCTAAAATTTTGTTAAAAACAATACAGAATTTTTAAGATATTTACATTCTTAGAGTTAACCAGTGCAAGAGTGTAATTAATAATGTAATTTAATTAATAATTCAAATCATTTCTGATAAAAATACTGAATTACTGTACTTTTATTGTATCCACCTGGATTCGTTCAATCCAGGTGAATATACTAAAAGGAATCATGTTTATCGAAATTAATATATTTATTAGTAACCACGAGCAGTAAGTTTCTTTATTGCTTATCTTAGTTTTATCTATGGACGTATGTATTTTATCTTAGTATGTAGGTGCTGCTCTATGGGGTTGAATCACTATAACAGATATATGGGTAAAAAACCCGTTAACAGATGTTTAATTACATTTAGTTTTAAAAATACGTTATAATGATTTAAGATGTTACCAAGATATTTAATCTTGGTGGCTACATTCATGTACTCCTAGACACTGATGATGGAACATGGTTTCCGAAAACGTTTTGTCTTTTTAACTTAGCCCGTTTGGGCCTTAAATATATACCTATTACAAAGGATTTTTTAATTAAATTTTTAATTAAATAAACATTGTTAGAATGTTGCAGTAGTGGTGCCAGTCGTATAATTGATAGATTCAGGGGTTTTGTTAATATGTATTATCTCCTGTCTTTAAGTGGAGGTCTGCTAAGGCACGAGTCTTTTAGGTTTCAAGAGTGAAGAATATATAAAAAAAAATTAAATTTCTACTTTTACAATAGTTGTAAGTAATGACATATTCAGCCTTTGTTAGCATCTAATCATTCCATTAAATTTGCAATGTTTCTCCTGAAGAAGTCATAAAATCGTTACACAATATTGAGAGCTATAGAGCAAATACAGAAAAAATGATCCCGAATTGATGATTTTTTACTACTAATATTGATTATATATATATATATATATAATATATATATTATATATATATATATATATATATATATATATATATATATATAAAATTCATCCTTGTATAAATTGGAAATTTTATAGCAAAGTGTATTTATTCCATTTTAGAGTAGTACGAGGTCCAGCCACTGTCCCGTAGTACGACTCGGACCCGCTTTAGGTTGCAATTTCTGTTGGAACACCGTCGATAAACACGGAAGAATAATCAGAAGAAAAACAGAGTACCACTGTCCTGAATGCCAAACCAATCTTTGTATAGTACCCTGCTTTCAAGAATACCACAAGACACAAGCTATCGGAGGAGCCACCAATGTGGATCCGTTATTACCGTCTTCAGCAAATAAACCGTACTCAAAGAGTAGTTAAACTAATGCTGTGTTAATGTTTACTGAAAATATAAATGAATAAAGTAATATTTATGTACGTTTTTGGTTGATTTATTTTTGTATAAAGGGAAATGTAGAAACTGTCTTTCTAAAATAAAATTATCGATAGATTTGATCGTATTGTCCACAAATGCATCCTAAGTAAAGTAACGTCCTTTAAAGATGGCTTAATGTTATTTTTTACCAGTCTCGGATATGCAGGAGATAATATTCTGCCATAATGGCTGCTCCTCAGCCATAAATTACCAATCGGACTGACCTGGTTGATGATTAACTTTGGCACAGCACTCATCTACTTTTTATTCACATACGTTTCGCACATATTTTCCACTGGATACTGCTTACGCACACTTTTTTGCCACTTCTTCGTCAGACAACGATCGATCGACACGCATATAGTTCTGGACGGTTCTCGTGCTAAGCCTCGGGACGGCGACGCTAGCGTCGTTACCACCGACCGACTCTTCAGCCTGGTACGAATTCATCAATAGAACCAAAGGGTAAGTCTATTCTTGTATAAAACATTGATAATGAGTAAACCAGTTTATTTCAAATTTATTTCTACTTTTACAATTTATAATTGCTATTTTCACCAATTTTATGTATCAACAATATCACATTTTTTCGTTATAATTATTTATTCACCCCTCAATTATATCTCACTTCCTATTTAGTTTCAACTTTTGTCATCTCTAAATCTCTCATGCACTCTGTTTTACAGTCCTACTTGCGCCTAGACCCGCTATCACAGGTAGGGTCGACTTTCTTCTTTTCCGAATCTGTAAAGATAAGCCCCGAAACACCCCAGTCCTGTGTGCATCTGCATCCGTAAGCCATATAACTTCAGCGACTTCATCCACTACCTTACATTATAATGGATTTGTCTCTGTCTTCCTTCCACGTCTTCATTTGTTTTCTTGTAAATCTCGGTCTAGCGTGGTTCTATAGCCTTGCAAGTTACAACCTTTAACATGTGATCAAAAGGTTAACTACCTTGGAAAATACACTAAAACTATTAAACACATTAATCTTTCCCGTCTACATTAATGTGCATCTGAGACATGGACCTTATAAGGTTGCCCACCGAAAAAAGTAGATGTCTTCGAAATGTGGACTTACAATTTTAATTATAAAGCACCTAAAGTCAGCATGCGACTGTTATTAATAATAAATCAGTCCTACACATTTTCCAAAACCTGGGTGGATCAAGTCAGAGGAATTATTGGTTATGGACAGAGAAAGATGGAGAACTACCGCTATTCCGAGAGTAAACAGACACACTCACTACATTTTTCGTTTTCCAATGCCTTGTTTTTTCTCGCCTTAGTCATTAACATTTTCCGTCCATATATGAGGCTGTTTACTGATCCATCGAGCATTTGTTATTATAAATGAAATTGTAGGATTCCATTAACAAAGTCAGAATCAACTAATCGCCTTCTGGATTTGGACCGGGTTTTTAGACAATCCAATCCAAAGATATCAAAACCAAAGTACAAGATGTAAAATCGAATAACTGGAGAGGAATTCTCTCAACCGTTGTTACTGGTAGCAATGTGCAACGTGAATTCGTCCAAACCACTGACTGCCTCAGTTGTCTTTATGGGATGGATGGTCCGTTATTGTATCATGTTTAGGCATCTTCTTCAAGGTTGTTTCAAACAATATGAAATGCCCTGTAGATTCGTAGTGTTTTACTGTTGCAGCATCTGGTAACAAACTAAATCTAATATATATTTGGTGTTCTTATAGATAAAAATAGAAATATGCTTTATTGTCACTGAAAATTGTACAACTTTATAGACAAAGCTTACAAAAAGTAAAAAAAAATAACAATTAAAATTTACTAAAACTAAATAAATCGTCAATATCGCAAAATAAAAGATGATAAAATATACAATCCATTCCAAAATTTAACTAAAATACAAATTGCATAATAAATCCTTACGAACTAATAAGTTTCAGTTTCTGCATGTGATACCCCCAAATATAAAACTACTTTAGTTGCTTGTACCTAAACGTACTCTAATATCTTAGTTATTCGTTAAGAAACTTCTCCACTGAATAATACGGTCTTTCAGATAGATAGGCTTTTGTTAATTTACGGAAACTTGAGAAAAGAAGTTGTAGATTTCAGTTGCAAAAAGAGATGGTTGTATAATTTTTTTGTCTAATATAATATAGATTTTTTTACTAACTCAGTTGGCGGGATCGGTAAATACACATCCTATTTTGCATCTTATCCACTCGTTCCTCTTTTTATCTCTCAACGATATTCCCAACATTTGTCTTTCCATAGCTCTTCGAGTTTTCTTTATTCTATCTAAGTTGCTCTTGGTACATGTGCACGTCTGGCACCATATGTCAGAACAGGTAGGACGCATGCATTAAATACCTTCGTTCTTAATTTTAAAGGTATTTTTTGGTTTTTGATAGTATATGAGAGTTTTCTGAATGCAGCCCACCCCATTTTTATTCTTCTGGTTATTTCTTTAGTCTGGTTACTTTTGTCTGCTCTGATAGCTTGTCCTAAGTAAATATATTCTTGGATGTGTTCTATGTTTGTTCCACCTATGTTAATTACTGATCTGTCTTCTGTATTAGTCATTATTTTAGTTTTCTTTCGATTCATTTTTAGTCCCTTCTTAAGAGATGTTTTTTCTAGGTCTAAAATCAATATTCGTAGTTGTTCCATCGTTGTTTCTATCAGGAGTACTTCATCGGCGAATCTTAGATGATTTAAATATTTCCCATTTATACAAATCCCTTTATTGTTCCAGTCAATAGATTTAAAAATGTCTTCCAACGCCAGAGTAAATAGTTTGGAAGAGATTGTATCCCCTTGTCTGACACCTCTACAAATTCTAATTAATGGCGTTTGCAAATCTCTGTCTAGCTGAATTATGATAGTGGCGTTTTGATAAATATTGTGGATTAACATTCTGTACCGTGAATCTATTCGGCAATTAACTAGCGCTTCTTCCACTGCCCATAGTTCTATGCTGTCAAACGCTTTTTCATAGTCAACAAACGCTAGGTATATTGGAAGGTTGTATTCGTTGGTCTTTTCTATCAATATTTTAAGAGTGTGAAGGTGGTCGGTTGTGCTGTACCCCTTTCTAAATCCTGCCTGCTCAACTGGTTGATATGCATCAAATTTGTTGTTTTGTATAGTTGTGATCACCTTAGTGAAAGTTTTATAAATTTGTGACAAGAGAGATATTGGTCTATAGTTAGCTAATTTTGATCTATTTCCTTTCTTATATGTCAGAATTGTATTTGCCTTGTTCCACTCTTGCGGCATTTGTCCTTCAAACAAACAATTATTGAAAAATATCTGTAGGTAGTCTTTTATCTTTTCCCCTCCTTCTTTTAACATTTCATGGTCAGATAGTCCTGCATTAATAATTATAGAGCGTACATCAAGGGGTGAGAAATCTGAGACAATATAATCAATTATGGTAGATGTCGTTTTAGTAATTCTTGTAGGAGAATTAACGTGCGTTGTGAAACCATATGATTCGGATATATTGACCAAGGATAATTGGCTAGCACAAGCAACAGCGTAATCAAGTCACCGCATAGAATCTTTCTGCTTTTATTGGGCAGGTCGTCTAACATATTTAACAGGTTCTGGAAAAATGGTTCCGTAGAATATGAACTATAAATGCAAAGAATTTTGTTTATATGAGAGAAAATCATTATCTAGAGAAATCAGTATTTGTAGAAAGAATTAGGGTGCCACCATGAGCTGATCTTGGACAATCATACCTAGCAATTGTGGCATATTTTTGTACAAAAAAGGTTCTTTGATTTCAAGCCAGTGCTCAGTAACTGCAACTATCAGGGGAAATCCTAATTCACCTAGAAACAAAAATAATTCATCTGTTTTATATCTTATAAAACGATTATTAATCAGCACCATGCTAAAGTTGTCATCACTAAAATAATTTGAGGTTTCTAGTCCCACAGAACACGTCGTATTATTTAAAAATTTCGTTTTGGAGAGGTAACGGAATAGTAGTAGTTTAGAATTCCATAGGCATCGTTAAATTCTAGAAGAATTTTTCATAGATCTTCAGTCTTAGTGGGTACTCCTTCGGAAGCCAAAAAAATTTAACGCTTGTGTTGGCAAATCCTTCGTAACATACTGAAGCAGGTTGATCGTGTAGACAAGCAACATGTAGTTTAATGGCTTAATTAATCAAGATATCCGGTTCTCTTAGTCTTTCTAGAAGATATCCACTGATTTGAAAGCTGTCTGTATAGACATATTTTGAAAATATCTTTGGGAATCATATTCCGAATGGAAAAGTACTCTTTTTACAGGACTCTTATAGCTAATCATAATATATATATATATATATATATATATATATATATATATATATTATATATGTGTGTGTGTGTGTACTACCTTCTTATTACCATTGACAACTACATATCTTTTTTAAGGTAACTATTTAACATCTTCTTCATGAATGTGTGGTACTCATAATGTAAAAAATTTTTAGATGAACTGATGATGCTATCAGAATTCGATAGCGAAACGTCTTCAAAATAGATGATAGAACGTCCTTCTCCGTTGTCCGACACCTAACTTCCATCCTCTTCTATCGTGGCAATCTTCCGTTGATAGATTCCGTTCGCTCATTGACTTTTTTATGTTTTGCTGCCACTCTAGTTTGGGTCTTCCTCGCTTTCTATTCCCTATTGGGGTCCAGTTCAGTATTTTTTTGGGCCATCTAGTATTTTGCATTCGCTCTACGTGTCCGTACCAGGTAAGTTGTTTCTTTTCGATATCCTGAATTATCGTACCTTCTATTCCCATTCGTTGTTTTATATGGTCATTCCTCATTCTTTCTCTTCGTGAGACTCGCATAGATCTTCTTATCGCGTCCATTTCGACTGCCTCTACCTTCTTTTTTTGTCTGTCTGGAATTCTCCATGTTTCCGCTCCATACAATAGGCTGCTCTTAA